ACCTCTCTCTAGCCGTATTTTTATCGGAAGCTCCTTCTCAAGTATTTGTGGGTAAGTGACATCATCTTCCTGAAAAATAGTCTGTTTTTAATAAATAGTGATATTTCCTTCTACTGCTTTTGAATATTTAGATATTGTCAAATTCATGTGCAAATGACTGCCTTATTATTTAAAAATTGACATTTTTTGTAATTGATTAAAGTATTGTTGTGAAATGTTTATTTACAAATTAACATCCCATAAATTGTGATAATTCCGTATTCTTGAATTTCTATAAGAGTTTTCCTATACATATTAGAATGGCAATTATGCTAGAATGTCTTTACGAATTGCTACCTTTCTAAATTTGAGCCCAAAATGTTTGATTGGCTGAAATGTTATTGAAAGTGACTGTTATTAATGGTTTTAGTGAAATTCATATTAGTGATTTCAGTGATATGTTGAGTACATGATATTTGCTGCTTTCGAATGTTTAAAGAGATTTTGAAATAATTTAAGTATGCAAGTGGACTCATCCGGTTCGCCGGTGAGGTATAAGTGGACCTATCCGGGACGCCGGTAGGGATTAAGTGGACTCATCCGGTTCGCCGGTGAGGTATAAGTGGACCTGCAAGGATTAAGTGGACCTATCTGGGACGCCGATAGGGATTAAGTGGACCTATCAGGACGCTGATGGGGTATATAGGTGACCTACTTGGGACGCCAGTAGGGTATTTTGTGAAATCCTTTGAATTATGCATTGACGCGTTAAAGTGTTATGTGCATTTCAATTATTCGGATTATACTTAATTATGTATGTATTGAAAGTGAAACTGTTGATGCATTTCTGTTAATAGATCTTCTTTTTGGAAAATATTGATATCTTTCAACCATGATTATTTTTAAGATTATGATGATCACTTACTGAGTGGCGAAACTCATCAAACTATGGTAAACATTTTTCAGGATAACTGCGGTTTCATTTGTGTCCTCGTCAAGATCAACTTTGGGAAGATATTGTAGTTTTGCTTAAACTTTCTTTTGTTACTTTGTAAGACCTCGCCACTGTAAATTTGTCCTATCAATAGATGTATATATGTTTTGTCTGTCACATCTCGGGGTGTGACAATTATTGGTATCAGAGCAATAAGTTTAA